CTCTCAGCGGAAAAATTGACGTTCTTTTACTTTTCTAACTTGCTTTTATCGCCTTCCAAAGCTTACGTATTTTGTAATTGCACCGTTTGCAATCTCAACAAAATGTTACGTTTTCATTGGTCACATGCGGTTCTGGCTGCCGGCAGAATGCTCCAACCATTGCCGTAGATAATTTCGACCTTTGAGTGCTCTCTTTTTAATAGAAAACTCTGCCGTGCATCGTTATGGCTTGTGGATTTATAGGATGCTTACAGCCCTAACAGTGAGTTATTAGCAGATTTAGGTGATCTTAAAAACGCCCTCGGGGCACCTTCCAGGGTTAATAGGGAAACTCTGTCTCTACTGATATGCAGCTGGCAAGCGGGGTGTGATGGAGACGACATTCAAGTACTGATCCATGGGATCACGAAAACGACGATCTCGTTTGCTTTATTCTTTGGCCGCACCGAAACCATGGCGCTTTGGTGCTCCGCAGACTCTCCCCGCAGGTTCGCACGCCTTTCCTACTCTTACGTAGTTTTTGCGGCAGACGCAGCCTTGTTGGCAGTCCCTGCTGCATGCCATACTCCCTCCGGCGGCCTCAATAGCCAGAGACTTGCATGTGTCTTCTTTGCAGGTGCTGCTGTAGCAACGGCTGAACACTTCGTTGCGACCGCAGCTCACTGAAAGAGGAGGCAGTACCGCATTCAGCTACGCTGTATGTATAAATACAAACCTCAAGAGAAAAAAAAACAGTATGGTAAAATTTGCTAGACAATTGTGTTAAATACATGAAGCGCTCTAGCATCATAAACGTTTATATAATCGTTTAGCAGCACTTCTAACCTGTTCAGATAGACGCCTACGTTAGAGTCGCTCCCCGTCAGATAATTTAACGTGTGGCATATCTACACTTGAAATGACAATCCTGGTGATCTTCCAGAACCTTCTAGCACACACTACTTCTCCTCCTCACTCCACTCGTGATCCCATGAACTTCCCGTTAACCAATCAGCGTCGAGCACGTCACTCTTCTCCGACCAGTCAACCAATCAGCATCAAGCATCGCGGCAACGCTTTCATCCTGGATTCTCTTGTAAGGCCCGTTCACACACTTGCAGCCCAGTAGGACGGTGACAGACAAAACTACTTTTTAAGCCTGTTGCGACGGCGTAGGACCAGATGCGCTGCCGCGGAGAAAGTCCTAACCCGTCGCAAGCGGCTTAAAATCCGGTTTCGTCTCAGCCGGTTCAACTCGGTAGCAAATGTGTGAACGAACCTTTGGGCTTCACGGGATGCCAAACACCTAGCCAAAGAACATTTTACGTTAAAACTTGTCTTACGCTCTGGACTGCGCTGGGTGTTTACTTAGAAGCCCCCTGAGCTCCAGAAACGAAAAGTCCGCTAAATGTAGACAATGCGCGTACCAAAATATTTAGAAAAAAAATTGCGTAATACTCTTTGACAAGAAACGTTTTGGGCCTTTCTTAGTGGAAATCTAGCAGAAAAAACTCATTGCGTAAAAAAATCAAACTAGACGTCGTAAACTTTTAGAAAAGGGGTGGTCGCGACGAGACACCGCCCCGCACTTTTTTTTTTCTGAACGTTAATGGGGGTTCACGATACGACACGATATTGTTTTAATGGGTCTCAGGCTGTAATATTTTGGGAAGATGTGTCCAATGGTGAAACGGGCAGGGCAAGAGATCGAATTTGAAATTCATAAGCTGAAAATCTACCTAAAACTGCACAGAACAAACAATGCCACTTAAAAAAAAATCAAAATCAAACTCTTTTAAAATATTCTATAAGGTCATTTTATTAGTTTTCGGCTCAAAATGGATTTTGCTTCAAAGCACCATTACCAGTGACACCGTTGCGGTATCGAGCACTCTTAAAACCTTTTTTTAACCATTTCAGACGATTGATAATGCACCTCTACTCAAACGTCGAGGAAACAAAAATACTTACCTGGAGGCGGCCGTGGATTGGAAAGAGCGAATGAACCCAGGATTGCACCGAGAAGGCAGAAGAACAGATATATCTTGATCATGATGGCGCCTTTATGACAGTATTACAGACCTTTAGCAGCAAAGATAAGAGCCTTAATATACTCGACCCGAAGACACTGTCTGACTAAAAATGATGCCAGCTGCATTCCATTTATATCGTTTGAATTTCGGCTTGCGTGACTCCTTCCAACACGCGCTATTCTTTTTGAACTATAAATTTGTTTGCCGCAAGTGCGAACAAAGGAAAAAGCTACATGAGCGTGTTCAACACTTGTAAGTGTCGTTCAAGATCGCACAATCTTTATCTGCAACATCGGCTTCCCTCGCACTTACAATAAAACCGAGAATAGTTTTCTCAGAAACGCCATCATGTATAGAAGAGATCGTTTTGCTTGAAAGTTTTATTACACCATCTTATTACTGTGGCATAGCTATGCGCAAGAAGTTGGCAGGCTTTTAATTTTGAACAAAGAACTAGGCGAATGCAAAGTTCTTTGTGTGTGTGCGTGTGTGTATCAATTATATCTTTTATCCATTATCCGTATTATGGTTACTCTTGTCAAAGTTTAACCATTAGCGCTGTTGCTGTTGGATTTTGCCCCCTCCCCCCCCCCCCTTCCCCCCAGTTGGACCTTGGTGCCAAGGCAGGCGACACGTTCGCCTTTTGCGCCAAGGTACCATTTCAAGGAGTATGTACACTCCTAACACCTTTCCACCTGGGTTCCGGCTATAAGTGGAAAATTATTGCAAAGATTTTCCACTTATTTACCTGGAACACTGTTCCAGATATCTTGAGAATATGCGGAACACCATTTCAGGTAGACTTCCGAGGTGTTTTGCGGAACAGTGCTCCACATAATGACATATGGAAAGCTGTCCCACATATAATTGGGAGACTTATGTGAAACGGTGTTTCATATGTTTATTTCTGGAACACTGGTACAGATAGAAACAGCTAGCTGTTTCCGAAACAGTGTTTCATATAAAGCAGGTAAGGGGTTTCTGTTGTCCCACATATTTTTTCACCTGCCTTCTTATATACCATTCTAAGATATCAAACACAAAATAAAAAAGCAAGGAAGCTGTAAAGAAAGCAGTTATGCTGCACATGAGTTTCTGGTGCTGTGGTATTCGCTTTCTAATAGCTCAGTGCCATGAAAAATCAAGAGCTCGCAGCACATCGCGCATGTGAATAGAGTGACTTGAAATTTGGTATTTTAGAATTCTCAGCGGCAGCTGATGTTTCACTAAGAGACCCAGCTTCATCAGTGCCTTGCAGAAGCTAAGGCTCATTGTGAAAATTAGACTGCCATCCTAGAAGGCTTCTTTCCAAGTCACTCCTTTTGTGATGTACTGTGAGCTCTTCCTTTCATAATACATTGAGCTAACAAAAAAAAAAAAAAAACATATCATCAGAAACGTACTTGCAGGAGAACTGCTTTCCTTGCAACTTCCTTGCTTTTTATGTGATCTCTATATAACGGCACATTAGAATGGTCTACAAGGCACTGGTGCAAAACTATCTGGACAACACGTGGCCATGACCAGCTTTATATAAAACAATGTTTTAAAAATGATTAGAACTGTTTTATTTGAAATGGCATGCCAGCTAAGTGGACTGGTTATATTTATTGTTTGGTGTTTCAAGGCAGATCCAAAGCGATACAACACACAAATTGTGGCAGCAATGACAGGCCCTTAAAACATGTTAGTGTGTCGAAAATTTGCGAAATCTGCTCCGACCTTTTGAACAGCAGTCAGTGGAAGCCATTACTCCAGTAGCCATAACTGTGTAACAAACTGACTGAGCTCAAGATTTCTATCAAGTACTAACAGAAAGGAAATGCTACAGCAGTACACACATAGCTGTAGCAGATGTGTTTTGCTCATAGCATCTTTGCCTCTCATGTGACGTCTGAGACAAACTAAAATGGTAAAGAAATCCAAGACACAAACAATAAAACAAGAATGATAAGATTCAATCAAATTTTATATTGTAACTTAGTGAACAGCCAGCTAGTCTATAGGTAAGGGCTGCTAGTGTATAAACATTGTTGGTCACACATGCAGTGGTGGCATGGTCAAAGCTTTGCAAAACAAAATGACTAAGTGGAGCACACACCATGCGATAAGGCAGTTCCAATTGTTTATGTAACTTGCCCCTTAGCTATAAAATGCTCAGAACTAAAAAGTTGATAATTAGGCGGCGAAGAACAATGTAATTAATCTGAAGGAAACAATGCATATGAACCTTGCATTTTTTAGAGTATTGCGAGAAGTGTAAGAATAAGCATAGCTTGTTTCAATAACTGGGTTACAGGCTCCTCTCACAGATAAAGCTTTTTCTAAAAAAATAAGATGCACCCAAGGTCAACTTAAGTGGTGCTTGACACGCCCAAAAGGTTTTTTTTTTCAAGTGAGGTGACTGACTAGGCTTCCGAAACACCATAAAAATGAGTTTACTCCAGAGTCGCATATCTTTTTTTCATAAGAACTATAAACATCAAGCCCATTTCAAAGTGACTGCGTGAGGGGTGTAATGTAGGAGAAACCCAAAAGATGTCAATGTAGTTGACATCCTCCGCAACCAGTGTTAGAGAGCCGAGAAGCGAACGGAATGACACTTCGTCTGCACTTGGACGAGCGTAGCTCCCAGAGACCACCATATGCCTTTTTTTCATTTGTTTGTTGCTTTCTGCTCTCCGAGTGCAGGGGGAGTTCAGTTCCGTTCCATTCGCTTCTCGGTGCTGTAATACTGCTTGAGAAAGAAGGCTGCCATCTTTCCGACCACCCCAAAATCTTTCGAGCACTTGTTAAGTCACACTGCTCAGGTTGGCACTTTGAAATGTGTTTGATATTTATACTTTTCATTAAGAAAATGTAACTCTGGAGAGAACCAATTTCTAGGTGTCTTAAAAGAAAAAAAAATAATGCATCTCAGAGGTTCCTCTGAGACGCATTATTTTAAATAAGGCTTCTATAGTAGTCTGAACATAACTGAACACTCACCTAGTTTGTGTTAGCTTCTGTGCTGGTACATTTCGAAGGTGCATTTTTGAACTCCTTTAAGCGAGTCTTTAGTTTAAATGACATGAGACATGACTCAAACATCTCGCTCTTGACTAGCACTGTTTGCCGGAGACCCAAAGTTTGTCCAAATGCATAAGGGTAAGAAAGATTCAAAATAAAGTAAACAGCGAGGCACAGGATCAAAGCACATTCAAGAGAAAATCTGGGAGGCAGGTGAACACAGCACTTCCCAAAGGTGATCTTGTGTTCTCCGTCTCGCATCCTGATGATAAAGGGTCCGGAAAAAGGCGTGTCCACAGCGGACTCCTTCTTTGTTTAGAAAAATATAATGTAATCTAATGTGATTATTTAATTAGATCGCTGTAAATAAAAAAAAAACTGCAAGGTAATACATGGTTATAAATAGCCAGGATGCAAGCAGTATCTAAAGACTGATAAACCTAAATTATATTTTGAAGCTGACAAGCAATATTTTTAATTATTAAAAGCATCTATTGAAGCAGATGTTGAACATGATGAGTCTCTACGTCATGAGATGGTCACCAGATACAATTTTAACATAGGGGAAATGAGGGCTAGGCTATTTCTGTAATTAACTCATTCATATTAAGAACGTGGATATATTTCTTATTGATAATTATAAATCCGCAGCCAGATTTGAAATACCTTATTCACAATACAATATAGGGCAAAATATAACATTGTAATTAGGTCATTTGTATGAGTCATTCCCTACCGAAAAAAACAGTTTAAGGTGGATTATGGAACAGGAAAATCTAACTGGATTTTTAGCTGGAAACCTGATATCCAGTTTGTAGACAATGGTCTGCAAACTGGTATTCAGGTTTCCAGAAAGAAATCCAGTTAGATTTTCTTGTTCCATAATCCACCTTAGACCGTTTTTTTAGCTAGGGCTAGGTTTGTTTTTGGTAAATTGTGATTTCTTAAATCTAAATTATGATTTCTAAAGATTCCCATACGTTATATATTTAACAAAATCTCTTAAAGCAGTGTTATTTATCATAAATCACTACTTCAGAAACTGAGATAGTCAATGCATTGGATAATCATCCAATGAATTAAGAATCACGATCTTTAACTTTCTGAACTGCTGAGGATTCAGTTGGGTATTCCGATTTTGTGAGATGATTCAAATGAAAACTTCGAGATTACGATTTTGTTAAAAATCCATAATTTTGTTTCTACTAAAGCAGAATGCATTAGCCGGAACCTCGATGTCGAGCAGCGACTCGAGAATAGAGATGTTCGCACACTAGAAGTGATGACATCAATCTAATCGAAGGAGTAGCTGGTCAAACACCATATGGAGCCCAGACATCATAGTGAACTTCCGTTATAACGCTGTCTACACAATGTCTATGGCGATGAGCGCACAGTAGAAGTTCAAAGTAGAAGTCCTTACCAGTGCGATGAGAGAAAATGTTGCCCTTTCTGGCCGAAGGTAGCAGTCAATGTCAAAGAAACTTCCTCTGTTCAGTGTTTCTCGAACTTCGCACAGCTCGGCCTTCATGTCTTCAAGCGAGGATTTGAATCGAAGCTCTTCCTGAAGTGCCAGCTACAAATACAGAAGGACATGCATGACTCTCAACAAATTTGTAAAGGTTGATTCTACTAAAGTACCATCATAAAATGATACTGTAAGCAACCTATTTTTCGCAAGCTCAATATTTTGCGAATTCGGCCAAAGCTGAAGTTTTCTAATTATTTGAGGGCACTAACCTTAGCAAGATTGAAGGATCTTGATGTAGCTTTCAAGGTCGACACATTCTTTCTGCCTGAATTGTTGATATGGCCTATTTTTCGTGAATTGCAGGCGATTCGCCGAAATTAAACCAAGGAAAAAAGATGGGTCTTTTAAAATATTAAAAATAATTGACACAAACATTCATTTAAGAAGCCTCCTTAAATGTGCATTCCAGGCTACAGCTACACATGTAATACATAATATTTCACTTAACATAAGAACCCTACGAGAAGCACCATAAATATATTAGGGAATGCTGGCACAACTTCATATTCTGTCTTTGTGTGCCGACAATCTGCCAATCTGCGATTCTCGCTGTCAATTATAAGAAAACATTGGCAAAATATAGTGGGATCTGTTTTTATAATACCTTTATAATCCGTGTTAATCCTTCTTTCTTGGGTCAATGGGGAACTGTGAAGGCATTTAAAATTGTGACTTTGTTTTGCTCAATTTATGTAATGAAAAGCTTCTCCATATTACACACACGGGAAATATTAGCGTTTTTCTGATAGGACCAAGGGCGGATTCAGAAGGGGGGTCAGGATGTCCTGACCCCCCTCTTGAATTCTGGATGTGTAAAAATTTAGGGAGTGGGAAAGGGGGTGGGGTTTTAACATGCACGCTGACAACACCTGACCCCCCCCCCCCCCCCCCCCCTCAAGAAACGCCTGCGTCCGCCCCTGGATAGGACTGTCATTTTTCTATATGTATCAGGTGTGCAGTGAACAAAGCTGAAATGTGCAGTGTCCATAAATAGTGATCTAAGTTGGATTAGGAATAAACACCCAAAATTGATTTTAAAATAATGCCTAGAGTGCCATCTACTTCGTACATTATTGATACTAGGGACATAAATAACCAGAGGCTGAGCTTGACTAATTGATATGAAATCCACAGACTATAAGCGGGATGAATTTGTTCAGAACCAACTTTACCACATCAGGGCTTAAGAAGTAGACCGGTAGTTCATCACTTGGGCTTGCTTTACGAGCGTCAAGCGTAGCTTTCAAGAGGGCCTTCATTCCTGTAATGTCCAGACTTGCAAAATCAGTGACTCTGTCCTCAATCGCCTAGGCAGGTGATACTTGATCTTATCAAACATTTCATTGCTAAACAAGAGCAAACAAAACATGAAGAGGATCAAAGTTAAGAGGAAGAATATTACTAAAGTTCTTAAGGTAGTTGTCTCAGAGTAGCATCCACTCTTTCACCAAGGCTTGGCTTCTTTGAACCCTGGAGCCAAGCATTTTGGTCTAATGTCAGCTGCTGCTCTGAGGCTCACCGGACTCTCTTTTTAACATTAATGTTTAGGCATGCAAAGTTGAAGTAAGCAATATAGAAAAAAATTAAGAATAATTGCTGCACTACTCTCCATTCTGCCTCAATTTCAAATGTTTACTTGAGTGTGCACATACTACGTGGCACCATGTTTATCTGCATTGTACACTTTTTAAAGCCAACAACTGTGTCCAGTGCTTCACACACTGTTCATACTTTCTTAAAAAATGTATGCGAATCAGCTTTCTCTTTTTGTCGATCCATTCCTGGGATGTTTGTCCAACGTCTGCGTCGGGAGGTGAGACGTCCACAAACTACACATCAAACAGCTGTCCCACAGATGGTTAAGGAGCAATAACCTGAAAAGACGTTAAGAAATTATGTATATGCAGTGAGCCTAGACACACGAGTGTTTTGAAAGGCAAATTTAGAAGGACAACCGTGATTGTAAGAGAATCTGCAGTTGGGCAAGTTGGTACATCATTAGGTTAAAAAGCGCCACACAACAAAGAAAAATGCAAGAATTGGACAGGACGATGCGCTACTTTTAACTGAATTTTTATTCGGAAAAACGAACATAAATACACTTGCAAGCAAACCCTTCGCTCATAAACAAACTTTTCAAGAAATAAATTTTCATGAGAAGGAAATGGAATTTATCTTGCGAAAAGTTTGTTTATGAACGACAGCTTTGCCTGGGTGTGTATATATGTTCATTTTTCCCAATAAAAATTCAACTGAAAGCAGCGCATCGTCCTCCCCAACTCTTCCTATTGCCTTCGTTGTCTGGCGCTTTTTCATTTAACAACCGTGATCATCCTACTTCCTAACACAAAGCACTACTAAAGTAGAAATAAAGTACTGCTGGATGACAGATCAATGCTAACAACTGATAGCAACTCCTCACATACTAACCTGTGAGGATTTCATGTGACACAGGAGAATGCCCACACAAAATGCACCACCCAAGAGGCACCCTTTCATGACTGACGAGCTCCACAGTCCGCGTGAAGCCGCGGCACTCGCCATCTTTGCAGCGACCTCTCAGTACACCCGAGATGTCCTCGGAGACGGTTGAACATGCCATGATGACTTGCAGAGATGCGACAGCTGTATGGAATGTTTGGCCATCTACCAGCTGAATGATGAGGCTCAGTGACTAATTGCAGTGATTGACAGTAACCATTTGTGCCATGCTTTCGTTAGCGAGCGTGAGTTCACTCTTATGACCCCCCTGTATATAGTTCCTTCAGTGACGACCTTTGGTGATGTCATTTAGTCACATCCCGAAACTCTTCACTTATTTCCCTTTACTTGTTTTGACTTATTTCATTTTGCTACCAGACTTTAATGAGACCACGGAAGCTTATATTCCCTGAAAGGACTATAGAGCTCCCTGTTACGTGACTAAAGTTTGGTGGACTCCGTTAGCTGCCTCCAGGTGCGAGCACAAATTTTCACAAAAGGCTCAGACGCCAAAAAGGACTTGGGAAAAACAATATGTCGTCCTCCTTAAACCTGGTTGGCTGGACGAACTGAAGGTGCTGCAATAATGAACGTGAAACGTTTCTCTACACTTATTGTGATTTCTTGCTTATACATACCGATATTTGAAACTTGTTCATGTATCGGTTGATAATTTTATCTCATATTTAAATAAAATGCAAATGCCCTCTCAAGATATCCCCCCCCCCCCCCGCCCCCCAATCTCTGTCAAATAAATTTTTCGGGTACGACCCTTGGCTTCATCAATACAGCGGGAACGCGCAATCTCGCTATCAAAGGTAGACACGCGGACAGTTACCGAGGCCTTCACCGTCCGACGTTCAGATTGCTCCGAAAAAACTTCGTACCGTTCGCGTTTACTTTGTTATAAGTACGGGCTCAAACCGATGTCGCGTCATTACGCGAGAATTAACATATGCACAAAGATGAGTACGTACAGAGAAAAGCTAAACAAGTCGATAAAACACTGGCGAGGCGTCGGACATGAGCACCAAGACGGGCATCCAGAACAAAAAATCGGCCGTGAGCATGATATACAAAGAATAGAACTAAGTGGCGAGCGCGCCGCACACCACAACCAAAAATGCACTTGCGGCCGCCCCTGGTGTGGGATTGAACTTAACGAATTTGAACCACGTGCACACTCCGCAGCGAGGGCCATAAACGCGAGGCTCTTGGCCTGCATGAACTCTCGTAAAGGTTAACTCTGCGCCAGAAGCTCCGGCTCCGCTTCCAGCACGCGCGCTAGATAGCCACAGCCGTGCTTTGCCTCCGGATACTCACCCCAAATTCACGAAGTACCGAGGTGACCAAAGACAGAAAGCTCGTTCTGGAGCCAGAGCTTCTTGCGTATTATAAGTAGAGAAAAGCTTTGGTAAACGCTCACCTTGTTATTAATCGAAATGAAGATCTCCTCTCTTTTGAGTTGAAAGCCGCTCCTCGGGCTTTCCTACGCTAACGTCCCTTTGTTTCTGCCAAACCGCGGTGAAAGAAACAAAGCACAACGTTGACAAAGCATACCGTGCGCCAGATAGGGGTGTCGCGAACTTTTGTCGAACTAGACTTTTAGGTCGAACATTCGGGGTTCGACAGGGTCGAACCGGTTCGACGACCCTTCGTAACTTTTCACCAGATTCGACCGGTTCGACTACAGTGGCTTAAAGCGGGTGGTGTGGTTGTCGCGTAGCCTCCACCATGCATCGGGAACGGCCACTCCTTGGAAGACGATGTAGGTGGCGCTTCGATCCGCAGCTCCGTTGGGTGCCTCAATCGGCCGGCAGATAGAGGCACCCTAACACGCTTCATAACTAACGTAAATACATCAAAAACAATTATTTGTTTCTAGTGAACTTCCAACGACATGATTTGTGTTTGGAAGTGAATAAAAAATGTGAAACTAGCAGACGACAGTGTAGTCGACAGCTGCGAATCGGCCGGAGCTGGCTGGAGCCAAGCTGAACAAGCGGCCAAGCCGGAGCCTTAGCCGGAACGACGGTGCTGCAAGCGCCAGCGCCACCCGCGGCCGTCTTCCAACGCTGTGCCGCTTCTCCGGTTTCGTTCGTTACACTACCCCCTTTTAGCCACTGTAGTTCGACTTTGTGGACAGTGTAGCCAGACCTTGATACAAGCATGTCTAGGCTTGGAGAAATATTTTTATGTAAAGGGTTATTTTATTTTTTGAAGAGTTGCAAACAAATGAAACCAATTCTAATCACTGCAGAAGTTAATAACTTAATTTTTTTGTACTGTATTAACTGAAACAGCCAATCAGCGGTGCCCTTAATTCATGCCTTAGCCATCACCATCCAATCCGAAGCCAACTGGACAGCCTGTCGCGCATGCGCACACGAGTCGAACCTCATACAAGGATCGTCAAAGTTTCCATTAAAGTTCGAAAAAGTCGAACCTGGCCGAACTCGACCTCGGCCGGTTCACGACAGCCCAAGCGCCAGACCGATTTTCGCGCGCGCGCGCTGCTGCTCCAGGCTTGGCTGCTAGTCGTCGAAGCGCGGAAGACAGGGGGCGCTACATGTGAGCTAAGCAAAATGCGAAACCATAGGCAGCTTCTCGGGAGTAAGTCACACACTGTGAAAATAACAGCGAATAAAATCAAACCACCACAGTTTCTGCCACTCGGGTCGAGCGTACGCACAAGGAAGTCAACTTTGTTAAGCAAAACAGCAAAACCCATGAAGATGATAGAAACGGTAGACACCAGCGCCGCCACGTTGGGTCACTAGCGTTCATCCAAAGATTGGTTTCGATTTGGCGCGCTTTACACAGGCGTCGGAGTTCGTACCGCGTGAAACTTAGCGACCCGCCGTTTGATACTTCGCGACTTCACAATACATCAAACACATATCTCTTAGAGTCCCATGAGGTTGAAGGACAAACGCGGATTTCTACCAGAATACTCTTGGTCGTGCTTTCTACGAAATCGCCTCTTTCTTTTGAGCAGCCTGCATTCGTTAGCGCGCATCAGTCAAACGGTAAAAGTGACAATTAGACTCGATGTTTCGGAGCGCAATTACATTCAGACAATAGAAAAAAAAACGATTTTTGCTTTTCAGTTTGCTACAATTCTTTTTAGCTGGTTCGTTGTTAAAGTTTTTATAACATAACCTCCAACAGAGCACTTACTACATGAGTATCTTGGTTTGAGGAGTCTTGTGCCTCATCAGGCTATCACTACAGCGTGGTCTTCTGGAACAATCGGCGGAGAGGGTTCGGCGCGTAGAGCATTCTCACGTCGAATCATCCGCACGGCTCCCGACTTTTCCAGAACATCACATTACAGCGTCAACAAAAATGTGTCCCCGCGGCCAGGCATCGAACCCTGGTTTTCCGCGTGGAAGCCAGGAAGCGTGATAACCGCTAGGCCACGAGCGCACTTCCTACTTGATCAGCTGCGCGCGCGGCAATATATCTTAATTCTCCACATTAAGGGGGAAGCTAGCCGATTCTTTTTTACAGCGATTCCCGAAGTGAAAACGAGTATAGGGGCTGCGAGGGCCGGCAATGTAGTTTATCCAGGTGAGCTCCCGGCATATGATAGCTGCAGCTTGAGCGGTGGCACGTAGACGTTTTCGAACACATCAGAGGACACGGGCCAGTAGCATACCTTGCAGTTATAGCCTAATCGAACCACCTACACCGGGTTGGGATCGGTCCCCTTGCCGTACACTGAACTGTGACGCGCATAAACTTGACGATGAGTCTTCAACTTTAACTTTATTGTTTCTTACCAGGGGAGGCGGGGAGGGGGGAAAAATAAAGCAGACTGTTGTCGATTGTGAAAATTTCTCCTCTCTTGCGATTTTCACTCACAATAAACTAAGTTCATAAATACGTATGTTCGAAAAACCTGTGAAGCTTGATAACATTGCAGCCACACTCGCGAAGCGTCTTGTGCTCATTGCACACTTTCCGCGACTGTTAGGATTATTAACATTATTTGTGGCCGCGGCGACAATGCAATGACAGCGAGACAAACCGTACATTTTCGGAAACTGCAACACGGTTAAAAGAAGCGGTCAGAACTTAACTCCCCCACGACGTCGGTTTCTAAGCCTTTTCGCCCAAACCCTTGGCGGTTACATACCCTGTGTCAGCGGGCGATTTTCACCGGGTTTAGGGAACGTCAGTTGCGCCGCCGATGAAGTTATGTGAAAAACGTCTATATATGCTCCCTCTTCAGCTCGCGCTCGCTGCCTTTCGTTGTAACAATGCTTAGGTTCGAACTAGTTGGTTTGACATTATGAGGCATGCTGCGCTAAGAAGTTGCACTGAACCAAACCCTTGAACTATGAGAAGATGTGGTAGACAGAAAAGACCATACGACGATGGTAGACCGTGATTTCAGTCGGCGCTTTGACATGTACTTCGCGTCCTTTACTGTCTATCTTATCGTCCTATGGTTTACGTGGTTGTTCAAAGGAAATGGGCAGCGCAGCGTACCTCACAATTCCGTTCCGAGTATCCGTTTTATTAGCGTCTTCGCAGTTGGTTACGCGAATTTCGGGAGCGTATCCCTCGTCGACTCTTTGCGGTTTCTCCTCCAGCAGAGCGACCATCTTCGCCACGAAGCTAATCGTCGATGCCGCGTTAACATTTATTGCAGGCTGCAAGTACGTCCGCTACCTGCGCACCTCGTGCATTTTATTGCGAAAGCATTAACTCTTCCATGAAGCGGAGTTGGCGTTGTCCGTAACCGCGAAACACGGCAGAGAAATTCCCTTCGCGCCGTAACCGCGAATAAATGGCGGAGTAATTTTCTCCGCTGAAGGCCTCTTAAAATGGCTGCGACGTGTGGTTCCAAGGAGCCCCACGCCACAAAGAAGGCCTCTCAGCGACCGTAAGAGGGAAAGGGTGGCGTTCGCACGGCCGCCACGGAGGCGCGTAGGGGGAGGGGGGGGGGGAGCGGTAGAGGCTCTGAATCACGTGTTCTACGCTCTGCTTTCAGCTATGTCGCGCCCCATACCCCAGCGGGTGCTGTGGACGCGTCTGCTCCTCTCGTCGCCGAGGGCCCCAATCAATTTTCATAGGCGTTCAATAGCACATTTATGATTTTTTATTCACAACTCATGGGATGTGCTTAGGTGTCCTCAGAATTGTTTTCCCCACAAATGCACCCACAAACTTTTGTCACCCCCCAAACCTCAACCAATGACTGTGGTCACTTAGCTTGCTCCTTACCGCTCGTTCCCCTTGCATTTCCTGTGTTGCGATTTGAAAGGTGCGCCTCTCCTTGCGTTCTGATGCGCCAAAGACGCATTTTGGAACATGTGCTCGCCGCATACACCAACTCAACAACTCAACCCGCCGACGTCTGGCTACTGGGGTGGCGCTGCTGTCGGCTCTGCGCATGCGCAGTGCCGGCATCACTTGGCGCAGCTTGATTGGCTACGGCGGATTGTAGCGTTGCCTGCGGTCGGACTTCATGCGAAATGGAACGTGACCAGTGTAGCTCGAAATTGGCGGACGGGCTATGCTCCGTTTACTTTAAGGCTAAGATTGGAAGCTCCGCCTTCGGCGCGAGGTTTCTTTTCTTGCTAACACAAGTACGAACGCGCAGGCAACGCGCAAGCAAAACATGCTGAAGCCAGCGAGCTTGGGCTCAAAGGGGAGCTTCTAGTCTCAGCTTGAAGGCGCCCTGAGGAGGTTTCTCAGATTGCCTAAATAGGGCGAGAACTGACACGCGGCCAATTCTCCAATTAAAAAGACACTTAAAACCGCTTACGTATAGGAAAGCAAAAGCATTGTAGTCCCGCGGCTGAAATATTTTCGAATGGTGTTTCTACACGTATTAAAGTTGTTTGCTCTCGGTATTGTATTCGACGTGTGCGTGTGTGTTTGCGTATTTGTTGGCCACCAGGCCGCCAACTTTCAGACCCTCATGCTGCTCAGCAATGAGGTTGATAGAAGTTGTATGTGGTGAGTAGCATGACGTAGACGTTGTTGCTCTTTAAATTGAGATTAAAGTGACATCACGAGCCCTCACTGCGCAGGCGCGATGCCTCTGCCGGTTTCACGGCTTTCGTGACGTAGCGTCTGCGTTGGAGTGATTTTTGTTGTCTTCTGTTTCTGAAACGCGAACCGCTTTGACCTTGAACGCGCCTGCTTGGTCACGCACTTTTATGCCAATCTTTCGGGCACAATTACGGGCACAACCCCGACACATCCTTTTCCCCCAATGGGACATATAAGGCTTTCGCCTTAAAATCAATCAGAAATCGCAGCACACACATTTCATGTCCGATAATGGCAGGAGCATGTTCCGAAACCAGGACCACTGTCGGTCAATAGCGAGTAAAGGATCCTCCCGCCTACTACCGGCGGACCCGCGGAGTGATATCTCCACTGCGCTCGGCTCGTTGCCTCGACAGCCCGGACTACGATTGAACTCAGCGAGCGCGCGCTCGAGCGATTGAGAGCTGAAGACCGGTCACATCACTCCCGCAGGAAAAGATGAAATATATATCCCTCTGTTCCTGAAGCGGTTATTGCAGTATTATATTCACTCTCTGCGAAAAATTTACATTTTTGACTTCTCTAACTTGCTTTTATCATCTTCTAAAGTCTACATATTTTGTAATAGCAGCGCTTGCATGCAATCTCAACCAAATGTCGCGTTTTCATTGGTCACATGCCGTCCCGGCTGCCGGCACAATGCTCCTCCCATTCCCTGAGATAATTTGGATCTTTGAGTGCTTTTTAATAGAAACATTGACCACGCATCGTTATGATTTATGGATTCCTAGGATGCTTAGAACCCGCAGAGTGAGTTCTGGGATATTTAAACGATCTCAAGACCTCCCAAGGGCACCTTTAAAGGTTAATGGAGTAGAGGGGAACTCTGTCTTGCGTGATATGCAGGTGGCAAGGGCGGTGTCGTGGCGACGGCATCCAAGTACTGATCCAAGGGACCACGAAAGCGAAGACCTCGCACTTTATTCTTTGGCCGCGTCGAAATCAAGGCATCTTGGTATTCGGCAGGCTCTCCTCGCAGGTTTGCATGCCTTTCGTACTCTGACGTAGCCTTTTAGGCAGACACAGCCTTGTCGGCAGTCCCTGGTGCATCGCAAATTCCCTCCGGCGGCCTTAATAGCGAGCGACTCGCAGGTGTCTTCTTTGCAGGTGCTGCTCTAGCAAGGGTCGAACACTTCGTTGCGACGGCAGCCCCCTGAAAGCGGAGCCAGTACCGCGTTCAGCTACGCTGTATGTACAAACATAAGGGCGCGAGAAAGAAAATTATGGCGAAATTTTCTAGGGAAATGTGTTGCATACATGAAACGCTCTAGCACCATAAACGTTCACATAATCGTTTAGCAGCACTTCTAACCTGTTCAGCCAGACGCCTACGTTAGAGGCGCTCCTCATCAGATAATTTGATGTCAGGCACCTCTACACTTCAAATGACGATCCTGGTGAACTTCCAGAACCCTCTAGCACACACCTCCTCCCCTCGTCACTCCACTCCTGATCACATGACCTCCCCGTTAACAAATCAGCGTCGAGCATGTCACTCCTCTTCTCCGACTCGTACACCAATCAGCATCAAGCACCCCTGTAACGCTTTTATCCTGACTTCTCTTTTAAGACCCGTTGATACGCTTGCAGCCGAGAAGGTCCTAATCCGTCGGAAGAGGCTTAAAAACCCGTCTCGTCTCAGCCAGTCCAACACAGTTGCAAGTGTGTGAACGAGCCTCTGGGCTCACGAAATGCGAAACACCTAACCAAAGAACGTTTCACGTTAAAACTTAGTCCAATGGAATAAGTTGGGAGGCACATAATGAGAAGCACGCTGTGGACTGCGCTGGGTGTTTATTTAGGAGCCTTCCTGAGCTCCAGAAGCGGCAGTAGAGTCCGCTAAATGTAGACAATACGCGTACCAGAATATTTGGAAAAGAAATTGCGTAATACTCTTTGACAAGAAACGTTTCGCGCCTTTTTTTAATGGAAATCTAGAAGGAAAAACGCATTGCGTAAAAAAAATCAAACTAGACGTCATAAACTTTCAGAAGGGGGGTGGTTGCGACGAGACACCACCCCGCACTTTTTGTTTTTTCTAAACGTCAATGGGGTTCACGATACGACACGGTATCCTATTGTTTCAATGGGTCTCAGGTTGTAATCTTTTGGGAAAATGGGTCCGAATGGTAAAACGGGCAGGTGAAGAGATCGAATTCAAAATCCATGTGCTGAAAATCTACCTAAAACTGGAGAGAACAAACAATGGCCACTTAAAAAAAAAAAATCAGAATCAAACTTTTTTAAATATTTATAAGTGCATTTTATTAGTTTTCAGCTCAAAATGGAGGTTGTTTCAAAGCGCCACTACCAGTGACGCCGTTGCGGTATCGAGCACTCTTAAAGGACAACTCCGCTCAATTCCAGGAATTTCGGGGTTTTTGGTGATTATACATTAAGGTATACTAATAAACGGCTCGACGTCGTTTGTTTCTCAAAAAAGGAAATATAATTCTCGTAATCCTTCTTTACTCCTGATCACGAACCGAAACCGAAACTGCGCCCGCGCCTGGCAACATTGGTCCCGCGTCGTCATAGTCTGGGACAACCCACGTGGTACGAACGTCACCGCACGACCTCGCCGACCGCGCGGACGGACTGATCGGCGGAGCAAGCGTGGTCGCGCCGTGTCGTCTGCTCTACGGTCTCTGCTATCCAACGACGTGTGCACTACCGCGGCCGCAGAGTGTTTTGACGCAGAAAAAGGCAAGTTGTTCTAAAGTTATGTTTTGGAACCATTAGTAGTTGAAGTTAAGTAAACCACTCGTAATATGCCAGGCATCGAAGCACAAAACGTTGCTCCGAGACGCAGCAGGTTCGGTCTTCCCGACGACGAGCGCAGAGCGCTCGCTCAGACGCTCATCAGCGCATGCGCGTTTTGGATCACGTGGACATCGGTATGCACGCTGCTGGCGCCGCCTGTACGCTGCGCCTCAATAAAGTAAAAAACAAGAAAAAAAGCGGTTCCAGACTATGACGTGCGGCGCAGTGTTGGCTGCGCCAACGCGCGGTATTGACTGCGCTGTTCCTTGCGCCGCAAATCGGCCGCTAGAATTAGCAGATTTCGGAGACTTGAGCCATCTCAAACTTTGTTTACCAGTTTAACAAACTTTTAGGCTTAATTACTTCGTAAAACTTGACGTGTAGTCTTTCTAGGTGATACTGAAGAGAACTGCGTTGTTTTTTCAGCATCGAAAATGAAGCGGAGTTGCCCTTTAAAACACTTTTTTTAGCAATGGACCTTTTCCGGAGTTTCCACGGCGCATGCGCAGCAGCAGCAGACGGGAGTCCGCCATTTTTGGTGGCGCTTTGCGTCCGCCTCACGGCAGTCAGCAGCCATAGCAGCCATAGAAACCGCGGAAGGGCGGGAAGCGGTCGCACATTTCCACGTCCTCTAAAATGCCCCAGCGCTGCTCCGCTGTCGGCTGCAGCAACGACAGCAAACGGAATCGCGGATTAAGTTTCTTCCGGTTTCCTTGTGCAAGTCTTCACCCGACGAAGCGCCAGTTGTGGATTCGGGCGATCCGACGAAACAACGCGGACGGCTCGCCGTGGCAGCCATCGGACCACTCCCGCCTTTGCGGCAACCACTTTGAGCAAGGTTCGTGCTTATTATTTCTTGCTTTCGTTAGTGTGCAAGTACAACGTACAGTGCGCCTCAAACTTTACGCCGCCATGGCATTTGCCGTTTCTGATAACCCTGCAGCGGCCGATTGAACGATCTGAAGAATGTTTGGGTTCCCGATTTCTAGCCCATCCTGAGAAGGCATCCCGAACGTTTTGGTGACAAATTTAACAGTACGTAGCCGACACGAGCTCAATGTTTGGGAACCCAGTGGCGGCGTTAAGTTTGAGGTGCACTGTACCCGATCCAATCTGATGCTTGTGTCTGTATACGCTGTTGCGTAGCTACCTCCACCAACATGTAGGTGCTGGCTTGAGCATTTTTTTGCTTGCTTATGTGACGATTACGCGCTGGCGCGGAAACTGCTGGATTACTATTTTGCTGTCGCAGCTAAGCTGTGCAGTTTGTGACTATGCGTATAGCCGGAGAGGAAAAGTGCGAGCAGCTGTTGCTTTGGTTTCCCCACCGCGTCTGCCGTACGTTTGTAGCTAAATGAAGTCGTGAAAGTACTAAGTAAACAACTTTTTGTTTTGGGTATCTTATAACCCGCATGTTCTAAATTCAGAAAGATAAGTGCGGCCGGCCTAGTGTTCCCCTTTTGTCACCAACAGGTTGACAGATCTAGTGATAACAAGGACCTTGTCATACAACACTTCGATTTTAGGCATTCCTTAAATATTTTCTTGATTTTACGTGGGTCTCATGGCAGCTCAATAACGCTGCCATTTTTAGTTCCTGTGAACTGACCTTATGCTTTCGAGCTGCGGCTGTGTTTTGAAAGGCTTCATTGATTTCTTAATACGGTATTGATTACTACTAGTTGCTTCATTGCCTGGCACCCATAGGCTCATATTATAATCTGCTCCCCAAGAAGCACTGCACATGCTCAGAGTGGTGTTTCATTCAGCGCTGAAATATGACGTGCAAAATAATATAATTTCAGGAGCTCCATCAAGGTGCAAAGACCACCCGGACTACGTCCCGTCGATCTTTGCTTACAAGCCCAGCTTGCAAAGATACTCGGCTGCACGGTTTGACCGGGCAAGGACGCGGCATGATAAGAAGATGGTCACTGCATCCGCCAAGAATGCCAATAAAGCATCCAAGCAGTTATCCCCTCCAGGTAACATTGGTATTAAACTATTAATTCAATGCTATTTATTATCAATCTTCTAGGCTGCAAAAGCATAAGAAAATATTGCTTGTTGTTGTTTGTTACTTTATCGACAGAATCTAAAGTGATTGAGTCAAAGATGAACTCCAAATATTGTTTACGGTTTGCGCGTTACTTACGACTCGACCTAGTATGGCTCCCTCTCCATTGACATGTGGTTACTTAGAAAGAGCTGAGCCACCAACATTTTTTATTTCTTGTTGGTATGCTTGATTAGATTTGAGTTGAGGAGTTGGCGAGAGGAATGTGTGAAATAATATATTCATTGACTGTATCCTTTTCTGGTGCAGCAGTGGAACAACAGGAGACGGACACCATGGCTGAGGTTGTGGACAACTCGGAAGACCAGTGCACCCCGTCTACAGACACTGCAAATGACATGTGTGTGGCCGAGGACTGTGATGCTGCGACACCTTTGAGAGACATCCATCAGCGTCGTCTGTTGGAGAGCAGGATTGTGGAGTTGGAGCGGCAGCTTCAGGCAGAAAAGCTTAGGACACAAGCACAAAGCCAAATGATTATGAAGCTTGAGGAAAAGATGTCTGAAATTAAGGTCACTACGCTTTCCCTTGCTAACATCATGGGCACCGAAGACTTTTTGTTTTACACTGGGCTGCCGAACTATTTTGTGTTTAAGAACTTGTACGGCATGATTGTCACGCGCGAACCTAAATTGTGTTCAGGCAATTATGTCAGGGTCCACACAGGTGAAGAGCAGCTGTTCATGGTTCTAGTAAGGCTCCGTACGGGTATGTCTCTGAAGGAAATATCCAGAAACTTTGGGATTTCAATGTCGACCTTCAGCAGGTTGTTTACGTCATGGATTGTTGTGCTGAGTCGTGAACTAAGTGCTCTCAACTGCTTTCCGAAGCTGGGTCTTGCACAACAAAGAATGCCAAGACACTTCGACGCATTTCCTGATACAAGGGTGGTACTGGATGCAACCGAGATAAGAATTCAAACGCCATCCAGCTTGGATGCACAGCGTCAAACCTTCTCACCGTATAAGCATGCAAACACAATGAAGTGCTTGGTTGGGGTAACACCGGACTGTTATGTTTGTTACCTCTCGCCACTGTACGGCGGTGCCATGAGTGACCGAGAAATTGTGCGGCAATGCGGCATCCTCAACCTGTTAGAACCAGGTGAGGCTGTTATGGTAGATAAAGGTTTTAAAATTGGTGACTTGCTTCCACATGGTGTGAAGCTTCATATTCCACCCTTCAGAGTGCCGCACACACGTCAGATGCCAAAGTCGGAAGTCTACGAGACTCGTAACATTGCTGGCGCTAGAGTACATGTTGAAAGAGTGATTAGGCGCATTAAGGAGTTTCACATTTTCGATCGTGCACTACCTCTCACCATGATCGACTTAGCCGACGAGATTTTCACCACTTGTGCTTTATTGTGCAACTTCAGGGGGCCATTGATTAAGGAGGAAGAAGAAAATGAACCATGTGCATGAGGGTGTAACTGGAAAATTGTATGCTAAGTTGTTTTCAGAAAAGAAGACTGAAAAAGAGACTAGAAAACAAATACATACATGTGACTTGCATGAGTACCAGGGAACGGTTTTATGCACCAGATATATTAGCATTCCTAATTTTCAAACATTTTCAGTGTAGCATGTTTCCCATTCTTTCATCATACATAAATACAAGGACTGTTACTTTTGATAAGTACAAATATGAAACAACCACTATTCGTCCTTTTGTTTGACAAACTCACTGGCTCTATCTAATTAACAGCGCTTTTTCAATTGGCATTTTTTTGTGTTGCCACTTTTTAACACATATTTCTTCCGCCAAATAGCATAAAAATGTTCGCTCAATGCAGGAAACTACCCTTTTGCAAAAAAAAATATATATCTGATTCAGCACAGAAAATGACGCATCAGTGGTTTTGCACCGTATTCGACGTGTTTTTGAGCCATTTTGACGTTAGCGGCACCACGTTTTAACTCGCTGGAAAAATAAAACGCACGCGAATGTATGAGCTCTCATTTACACTTTTTGTTTCAGTGAAAGTGCACTTTGCGACATAATGCAAGAACGACTGTTTTGCATAGATACATGATAATAAACTACTTGACTCTTTCGAATGTGAGCTTCAAAGGATTTTCATGCATGCGAGCGATATAAAATCCTGCCACGTGCATCTCATGTGGTACATGTCCAGGTTCAGTAGTGTGCATCCTGCCAAGACGTCGAACTCGTCGAGTGATTCTTTCTGGGATCACCACACGCTCGTAGAAATAGAGTAGCCCTGGAAGAATGGTGCTGTACCAGAAAATGTTGTCAAAAGCTATTCGCTCAACACTGATGGAGTCGCAGAAAAGTCCATTGTTTGTCCAGATGACAAAGTCTGCCCAACGCAGCCCAGTGACAGCCAGCTGTCCTTGCACTTGGTAGTAGTAAGCACTGTCCCGCTTGAGCGTAACTTCACCTTCAACGATGTGGGCAAAGAACTTTTTGTCCAGGGCGGCACCCTTTGGTGTTTGACCCTTCTTACTGCGGGGACACTTCACCTCAAGCAAGCCAACTCCTTCGCCGTCGTAGACGATGCGATCGGGAGATGCCGCAATGAACGGATACCTTGGGTAAACGTGCAGGCCCGTCTCCTCAACATGCACCTCTTTATCATAGTAGGCCATAAGCTGCACATACTGGTCCACAGCGAGGGGCTCGTTCTCGATGCCATAGAGGCGTGGGTCACCTGGCTTCAGTCTGATGTTCTTAGGGTACATGACTTCCCGGACGAGGCTCTCTGGTTTTTTGCAGCGAACCATGCGCTTGAAGTTTGATGCTGTCAGTCGCCCCACGCGCTCTCTTTTCCATGTCGGATTTTTTCCTTGGCCAAATGTTGACTTCTGGATGGCGTTCACTTCACTGAGGCTCAGAGGTCGGACGGACTCCATTTCTTTCCTGAAGTGCTCACGGCACTTCTCGGAATGCAGGTTCTCGTTGTCCAGGATGGGGCACAGGAAGCGGGGTGGTTCTGCCTGACCAACATTCTTGCACCACAGGAGGCTAGGCTCCTTCCTTTTGATAGCGTCCACGTAAACCTTGATGTCGTCCAAGTCTCCACCGGTAGGGGCCGAAACTGCTACAGCTTGGCGCTGGACCTTTTCTTTTTTCTTTTTGTGCACGACATGCCTCTTGAAAGTTATGTCTTTCAGAGGAGCTGGACAAGCTCGTTTGGCACCTGAAAAAAGAAAAGTGATTGCACTCGGTCAACTTTGGAAAATAGCTAGTGCCAAAATTTTCCCGTTAGCAGCAAATTTGATCGAAGTCGCAGCTGCCTAATTCCGCTACAAGCATTAATTCACATTTTAATGCTTACATTGCATTAACTTCGATAAGAAACAAATAAAACATACCTATTCGAAGAAGCAAACATATCTCGCTTGCCTTGCTAACCTTGTCCTTAGGCTAATAAAGTGAAGTGAGTGAAAACTCTGATTGACTTGCAGCTAAGCACATATGACTTAGATAGTCCACTTTCAGTGTTGTTTCCTTTCTTTAACTGTCACATATCTTGCTGAAGAAGTTAGGGCAAGGATGGACGGTCTGGAGAATGCTGACAGAATGCTGGAGGACGAAACCTCCTCTCCAGCGTTCCTGCTGCTTGCTTTTTCCCAAAACCCTTGCCCTATGCTCGAAAAATGTCACTGACTATAGGTAACCTTGCAATAGTGTGTGTTTGAAATAAACAGTGTTCCCTAATGAAGCAGAGTGGCTGTCTGTCCTTAGCCTCATACTTTTTAGTTCCTTTGAACTGATGTAACCACATCCCCAATGCGCTGCATAACCAGCAGTAGGAATATATTTTTTTCACTCATCAGCTGAAACACCTGACTGTATATGGCAGCAACATGCAGGCATCATTTTTAAACAGCACAGCAAACTCATTTCAGCATAATCATAAAACACGCTGACGGTTTCAAGCTTGTTGGCATTTTTAGCCATGGAAGTTAAAAGCGGGGTGATATGGGCGAGGCCAGAGTGCAAAACATTTTTTTGTTTATATTTGCGGCTATTTTTCACGGGTTTCACATACTTTGGGAAGACTGTGAAGGCACATTCCAGCGGCATCTGGAGTCCGTGCTGCTCGGCTGCTGCACGTCCGCGACGACGAAGAGCAGTCCCGCAACGTGTTGGCACGTCTCGCTCAGCCTGTAAGAAGTTTTGTTTTTGGACATAGTGATTACGGCATACACTTACGCAAACAATATCTACAAGCGTTATAACCGCAGAACCTACCCTGCAACGCAATCGCAGTGTGCTTTCACAACGGCGCCGTTTCTGTCCAGAGCGATCAGCTGCTTGTAGTGCCCGGATTTCATGGATGGAATACAGATACTTCTGATGAGCACAAGGTCCATTCCTGGCACTGATGTATTGGCCATCACCCTCCGAACGTAGTTCTCCTCGAAGAAGGACCATCCTTTCCGCAGTTGCCGCGTTGAGCACCCAAAGAGAAGCTCTATCGCGTGTTTCGTCACGTTAGGCGCCGCGTTGAGATCCGTCGTCCAACCACTTGGCAAGACGTACAAACGAACGAAGTCGATCGTGGTCAACTCATTCATCGTACAAATAAGACGGATCAGCACGTCGTTATCACAAGATTCAGGAAGACTGGGACAAACGAATTATCAACGGCACGGCGCTTTGCTGACATACGGAGCGGCGGACTAGGAAGCGAAACCCGTGACCGAGACCACGCTACTGCGCCATCAAAAACGCCTCCGCGGTACGCCGGGAGATGGCGCTCTGCATCCGCGGAAAAGGCCCATTTCAGACGATTGCTAATGTCCCTCTACTGAAACATCGACGAAAAAAAAATTACTTACCTTTATACCGAAATGGATTGAAAAGAGCTACTGAACCCAGGAGCGCACCGAGGAGGCAGACGAACAGATATGTCTTTATCATGATGGCGCCTTTATGACAGTATTACTGACCTTGAACAGCAAACCTAAAAGCCTTAATATATTCGGCCCGACGATACGATCTAAGAAAGATTCCAGCTGCATCTTTTTTATATTGTTTGAATTTCGGCTTTCGTGACTGCTTAAAAGGCGCGCTATTCCTTTTAAACTATAATTTTGTTTTGCAGCAAGCGCGAACAAAGGAAAAAGCTACAAGAGCGTGCTCAACACTTCGTGCCTGTCTGGTACACGCAATCGTAAAGTGGAAGTGTCGTTCAAGACGGCACACTCTTCATTTGCAACATCGGTTTTCGCTCGCACTTACAATAAAACCGAGAATTGTTTTCTCAGAAATGACATCATGTTCAGGGAGTATTCACTGGACGCCATATTTGTTGGTGCTGCTTAGAGCGTATACTGAAAACGAGCTCACATCAATAGGCTGCTAAGACCGGCACTCTTGATGGCGCGGAATGCACGTTGCAAAAGAACTGTGGAAGCTCGCCATCAGCACGCGCTCAGCATTCACGCAAACAGCTATGGCCGCCAGTGAATACTCCCTATGGAGTATTCACTGGGCACCATATTTGTGGGTGCTGTCTAGAGCGCAAGCTCAGAACGAGCCCACATTAATAGGCTGCTAAGACCGGCACCCCTGATGGTGTGGGTGCACGTTGCAAAAGAACCCATCAGCACGCGCTCAACAGTCGCGCACACAACTATGGCCGCCAGTGAATACTTCCTATTAGATTCGAGATGATTTGGTTGCGCCCTCTCATGGTTTCCGTCCGTGTCGTCACGACTGGGATTTGCCTCGCCGTGAGGTAACCAGTTGTTATCCTGGCTACTTACCATCAGGTGCGACGACGAGTTCGGTGGTGTGTTTCAAAAGCACAAAGGAAGTTAGGAGCCATCGCGATCCGAAACTAACACCGTCAAAGTTGACAATCTGACAATGCTCATATGCCCATGGTTTGGCCAATCCTGAAAAGCTGACCGCAGCGACGCTTTTGGTCGCGCACATGGGAAGATCGTTTTGCCTGAACGTTCTATCACACCATCTTATTAGTGCGGCATAGCCATGCGCAAAAAGTTGGCAGGCTGGTAATTTGGAACAAAGAAATTGGCAAATGCCAAGTTGTTTGTGTGCCTCCATTATCTCTTGTGTGTTTGCGTGTGCGTATCCATGATATCTTTCATCCATTATCCGTATTATTCCTACTCTTGCCAAAGTTTAACCCTTAATGCTGTTCCTGTTAAACTTTGCCACCTCCCCCCCGTTGGACTTCGATGCCAAGTCAGGCGACAATGTCGCCTTTCGAGCCAACGTACCATCTCAAGGAGTGTGTACCCCTTGAAAGAAAATCGTTCAGCCTTTCCACTTTCGTAAAGGAAAACCAGCGGAGCTGTACTCGATATACTGTGTATTTCTTCTCCTTCGTCGTCTGTTTTTCACGCTGGTTCCTACGATGAATTCCCACCAACGCGCCCAACTATCCATTCTTCTATTATAGCTGGAAAGGTTGCCGCCATCTACGAGCGACGCTGGAAACCATAATGGTTGTATGCTGGCCGCCGTCGTTTATAGATGGCGGTAGCTGTCCAGGCAGGTTTGTGTCGACATACACGGACACGATCTTGGGGAGCCTAGTCCCTAACAGCTCCTCTGTAAAAATGATGGATTGATTGATTTATTGAATACAGCAAGCTCAATGTACCCTTTCGTGTAAAGACTATAAAACAACGCTGGCAGCCGCCATGTATTGAGCATCGCTTCCTACGCGAGGCGCCTGATTAGGTCCGAGTTCACGCCGAGCACTGACGCTGTACTCGAGTCGAATGCATTTGGACCCGAATACGCGCCGAACGCTGAAGAGGCGCTCGTGTACAACGCATGCAGAAAGTGCACGTCCAGAAAAATGAAAGACGTTCACAACACCTTGTAACGCCGAATTAGAGCGCAGCTCTCGAGGAGGAGGAGGAAAGGGTACTAAGGGGTGGGCGTACTCCTCCTCCCTCCTCCTCATCCTCCCTGCTACTCCCCCTCCCCTCCTTTTCCTCCTGCTCCTCCTCGTCCCCCTTCTCTCTTCTTCCCCTCCTCCTTCTCCCTCCTCCTTCCTCCTCTCGCCCTCCCTTCCTCCTCAAGCCGGAAACGGGCGCCTAAAGCCTGGTTCAAACACTTGCGTTTCACTGCGTTTGACCGCGTTCCGGCTGCGAGAAACCAGGACATCCCTGCTGCTTATATCGCGGGCCAAGGTGATTCCTTGAATTGGAATCCACGCTTCATACGAAGCACAGATGTGCCGGTGACTCGGTTTTGGTTTTAAACGCAACGCAGTCAAACGCCCTCAAACGCAAGTCTCTGAACCGACCTTTAGAGCTGGGCTCTAAAATAGTGGCATCGTTCAACCGACACAGCAGGGCCCGTTTGCTCGAAGCCGGTTTAACCTCGGTTAAATGTTAACCGCCCTTCCCTGCTAAGTCCCTACAAGTACCTAGCCAAGTTTGACGAGGGCTGGATAACCGATAGCTCTGTGTTTTATTATGAGGTGGTTGCTGGTGGCACCTACTGTTGTAGCGAATATAAGTTGCTTCCGTGGAAATAAGTTTCTGAAAAGGGGGAACCAAAAACGCAAGCTACCGGGTTTTCGCGACGCAGCGCGGCGTACATTTGAGCAGACACGTTTTTTGTTGCTTGCGGTACAGATTTTGAGTAAGGTAAAACTAAATTCCCCCTTGCCTGAAAAATTTCTAAATGCTTTGCTGTCTGAATTAAAGACAAGCCTCGTTGAAATTTCCTTCCCAGTTCGAAAGAGGACGACGAAGTTCAGTCCTAGAAACGATAAGAAAGAAGTGAGCAGTGAAAGATGGGCCGTACATCGGCAGCAAGTTTGGCTAGCATGTAAGAACTGTTTATGATACCATCATAAATCGAAAAACCTGCAATTCGGCTCCAGTGAAAATAGATCTATTAGTAAATTTCCCAAGCATCGAGGAGAACGCTGGACGTGCAATTCAACGGTCTGCGCGCGCTGGCCTTCCCCTTATAAAAGATTTGAAGTAAATGATAATTTTAAGGCTTTGACGAACACGCGTGCAAGGCAACATTTGTTTCAGGCTTTTTGCTTTAGAACAGTTACTACTGCAGACGCCAGCACGCGCAGCGACTACACTCGTAGCATACACCTCGGTGCTAGGGAAATTTAGCAAAAGGTCTATTGCGTCGCTGTCTGCTTTTGTGTGCTATCAATACACAGCCGATTGAGTCGAATCAATTCACTTTCTAAAAGCGTTGCCATGCCGACAATTATCGCGTTTATTTAGGCTTAGGAATGGCCAGTATCAAAAGAATATATAAAAAAGGCAGCGAGGTCATTGCTCATGCTTTGCGATTTAAGTGAGGTAATGCAAAGCGAAAGCCTCCTGAACCATTCATTGCCAACTAACGCGCCCGATATTGCAGCTACAACGACATATTGCTTCAAAGCGAGCGGCACTGACTCACCGGGGCACCGCCATGTTTCCCCGGCGTCCTTACTCTGCCAGTCACGTGACCTAAACTTCACCCTCGTAGGGAAATGCGGTTAACTTCTATACTCTGTCTCACTAGTTGTGTGCAGTTAAAGCAAGAATAGGGGCTCGAGAGCTCAGCTTTGGAGAATGCTTCGTTTGCGCGAGAGCTCGCGCAAGAAATGCAAATCTGAAAGCCACGCTCTCGAGCCCCTAACCTTGCCTTTGCTGCACACAACTACTGAGATGGAGTATAGCCGCGGTTAGAGTTAACCAGCTTCAAGCAGATGGGCCCAGGAAAGCCGGCACTTAGACAAGAAAAAAAAAATAGGTCGATGACAAGGTACTTTTCAAAGGATACTGCAAAAAGTGCAGAAATTACATTTGAAGTTAATTGAGGCTGAATTGTAATTAATTAGTGGTACTTTTACCCTTCTATAAAAGTAAGTGACCGTTACTTCTGGAAGTAATCCGTTACCTTTCTGGCGTTACTTCCTACAATATTGTCCTTTGGTAAGAAACCAAAAAGAATAAGTGTTATTCAGGTATTTATTGTTTTCTAAAGTAACACTTCATTCACTTTGAGTGTCTTGAGTAAGACGTCGATTCTTTCAACTGAGGCATTGGATGGGAGTGCCCTGTTGTGCCTCATGAGGCAGTGCACGGTGCTTCTCTGGCGAAGCGACGGATGTGCTTTTTATTCCGAAGAAAGAGCAAAGCGTCCTAGAAGCCGATGCTTTATGCTATCGAAATCGCGGAGATGTGGAATTCGTCATACATCGTGCCAAACCTGAAATAAGAATCGATTTCTGTACCTCTCTATGCCAGCCTGTGGCACGTGTCAATTAAAATATAAATACGGTTTACATTAATCTTCTCTTGTCTCTGTGCAGGTCAAGCCTTGGTTGAGACTTGAGACGTAGGGGAACAATAGGATAACATGTTATACGGTGACTTTCACTAGTGGATCCGAAGCGCTTTCCAAAATCCGCGAGGGAGGCAAAATTCCGCTCCATGGGACCCGCTCCGAATCGACGAGCGGAAGATGAACTCACATTTTTGGACCGACCCACCGACTTGGTCGGACGTTCAAAATAGCCGCTGCTCGAACTTGACAAGCCGACCAACGCCTCAGCCAACTGATCTTTCAGACGACCATTGACAACTGTCACGGCTTAGCTGCAGAAACTACACGCGTAACAGGCCGGGCGAAAATATCCGTCACAGGGAGCCCAATTTACGAATAACGAGGAAGAGGTCCACGTTCGCCACATACCATTCGGCCGCCTCGAAGTGGCAGGGCAGTGGGCACGAACAGCGATGTCCATGGGTGGAGTTCAGATTGCTGGTGCGACTTTAATAAACACAAGGAGGTAACGAACCATCACTTGCACGGTCGTTGCCTAACCTGTTCTTGCTTTCTAACAGCGAAGCTGTCTATGGCTAGGGTCCCACTGATTTTTCGTGTACGGCCAAAACAAATGACGCCACCAC